TCAAGCTCTGGCTCACAGTGCAATACTTTGTAAAATATTGGATGCATTGTAGTGGTATTGAGTTCATACACTGAGTTTTCCCACAGATTGAATTGTTGTGATTTTTCTGCTCTTGTGACATTATTCCGACTACCAGCAGCAGGTGAGAAAAGGGACGATTTTTATTTGTAGGAGAAAATGTCTTCCATTTACTTTTCAGAAATTTAGCCTCAGGCTAGCTCTAATTTTCTGTGTAAATGTTGGTTTAGCACATATTAAATTACAGAATGATTGCTTTGTTTTTACGACTCTTAAATTAATTTAAAGCTGAAGTTATTTATTTTCTTACAAAGCAAGCTTGGTAGAAACATTCACAGTATTGTTGTTTACTATGATTCACATCAATGAATTTATATTCATAATTTCCATCACTTTAATCCATTACGTCAGGTCATTTGCTTTCCTATGCTCACTTTTAACTTTCCTTTGCTAGAGCACTGAAAACAACAGAAAAACACCAAAACTAAAGAGTTTGGTATCTATTTCTACCGCTTGCGCTTATTTTAAGAAAAACAATGAACTACAGTAAAATGATGTATTCCATCAGACATACAGTGCTAAGTCTCTGCCATGACTCTGTTCTCCATTCCTTCATCCTCTTCTCAGTCAACATGATGGCTTGTGTCCAGTCAGTGGGCAGTCTTGGTGTAATTTGGCCCAGAGGGGCTTCTGGCAGTAGGTGAGGGGATAAAGGGAGCAGGGATAGTGGGGTTTGGAGAAAAGCAGGCTTAGTGTGGGGCCCTCGATGGAGTGGCCAGTGAGCACATAGGAAAAGCATTAAATAAACATTAATGGAACTAGGTTACAGGAGACTTATTAGCCAGGCTTTTTGGGCCCCCACTGTAGGGTTTTATGTCGCACTTTAATAACTCTCTCATGCACACAGGTAAACAAACCAGGTAATTTATTGCCATCCTCATAGGTGGCCAATGTGAACACAGTTTTTACTTTGCTGTGGCCCATAAATTGATTCTTCTCTGTTTTTTATCATGTGAATGAATAGTGTGTGGCTCCAAAAAGAAGACTACAAATCCGATTTGGATCCAGTTTTGATGTCATTTTGTGATGTTAAAAATTAGTGTGCCTAACCGTGGCTTAGTAATTTCAACATACCCTTTTGTGGCATGTCAAAAAGATAAATAGTAACTGATTAAAATGCAGTAAGGAGGACTCCGGGGCAGGACAAAAACCTAAATCTCAATTTTACAAGGACAGAAAGTTTATAGCAAGTAGAGAGAAAGACAAAGCAAAGCCCCGAATCTGAAAAAAAGATTTTATTACCTGACTATGTCTTATACAAATTCCTGAATGCCATTATTAATGCATTTCTTTGGAATTTAATTAGACAGATCAACATAAAGTAGAGCATATATGAAGTGATTTTTTTCAAGGACTTTGAAATATTTAAAATGATAATAATAATAATGAAAAACGTTTCATAATTGTTTTTTTTTTTTTGTTTAATTTCCAAAAAGGATCTTAGGACCCAAACCTTGTCTTATTGCAACAATTGGGGTTTCATCTCTCTTTCAGAACTGCTTCCTTACTTCAAACTATGATTCTTGCCACTTTTCTTTTGGCAATGGCTTTATTTTGTCATTCTTTGTAAATATCAAATTTGTGGTTGGCAAGAAGTGTAACAATGTCACTTGAGCTGTAAATTTCTGCAGCTCCTCCAGAGTCACCTCCTCTTTTGACTTTTATATGTAATTTGATTGAAATTGATTTTAATTAGAGCAATCAGAGTGAAAAGGTTTTGAATGCAAAATGCATGTCACACTTTGTCATTTTAATTTTTGAACCATGCATCATTTTTCGCTTCACAGCTAAGCGCTACTTTCCGTGTGTTACATACAATAGAAAATTAAAGCAGAGTGGCAGCTTTAAATCCTTATTAATGTTTCCTACATGGAGCCCCTTCAGGGCTGTTGTCTTTCTCTGCCTTGGTTGGGTTTAATGCAGGGCAAGCTGTCCTCCTGTGAGGACAACCCAAAGAGAAGAGCGAAGACTGACAAACAAGGTTGGGGGGCAACCAAAGACTGCCTAATGCCTTACCTCATGACTCGGCGTGTCCACTCCAAGCCCAATTGGTGTGAATGTGAGACCTGGTTCAGACAGAATACTTGTGAAAGTCCACTCTGAGCAGGAGAGAGGGGATTTGTTGTCTGAGAGTGAGAATTGAATGAAGAGAATATCAAGTGAGGGTATAGAAAGAGAATTATAATGAGTTTTTTTTTTTTTTTCCCTTTGAGACGGGTTGTAAAAACAGGCAAGTAAAAGAAACAAAAAGAAAACAAAGGATCCTATAGAAAAAAGGAAGAAAAGTGTAATTGACAACCGGACAGTTAAAGAATGTTAGCTTGACAGTTAGACCTTACATTTTCAGTGTGTATATATGTGTGTGAGTATGTTTGCTTTCTCATTCTGTTTTTGTATGCATGCTGGATGGCGGCTCCAGCGTGCAGGTTGTGTTGCTGCAGGATAGTGTGCGTCAGGCTCCATCAATATGACATGTCTTTGATGTGGAAATATGAAGAGCAAAAGCCCAGCCAGCTTCAGTCCAGTCCCCAGCGGGACACATCTACCACAGTGCATACGTGGGCATTTCAGGGAGTGAGAAGAGAAGGGGAGCAAATCGAGGAAAATAAAACCTCCAGTGAGCCATCAGCTACATCAGGCACTGCGAGTAATTAAGTAAAATTTAAGTTCGATAACACCTTCCCTGAAAAAAACCCCCCAAAAAACACAAGACAAGATTTTTTTTTTCTTTTTGATTTCTTGACATGATTATGATGATAATTTTCTGCACCCCCTTTTTCATATGTTTTTAAACTTTTTATTTATTTTTGTTTATGCTAACCTAATTTAGCAAAGTTTTATTTTTAAAGCCTCTATATTTCTGTGATGTGCTAGCTGCATTTTAGATTCTAAACAGTTATTTTTTTTTTCATTTACCCTTAAAAAAAATCACAACTCCAGTACTGCAAAACTCAAGAGTCCTTTTGATGTTGAAAAGATATGTTACTTTGGCGAAGTTTTACTTTCACACCCATCCGCTGGGGCTCTCTAGAAAAGACGAGGCGATTGAGGGAGGTGTACAAAGGAAGAGATAACAGAGGTCTGACAGGAGCAATGGGGGTAAATCACATCCAGGCAGACCTGGATATAGAGAGACAGAAGAATAAGTCCATTCTCTGCCCAATGTTCTGACTGTCCCAGTGTGACCTCACAAAAAAAAAAAAAAAATTCCAAATAATCTACACCTCCTCCACATGCGCAAAACTCCAAAAAATACTTCTGCAATTGTGTGTTTTTGGATCAATGTAATATGTTTTGCACATGACCTCATTGGTGAGTTTTCAGCTGGGGAAACAGAAAAATCCCAAATACAGCATTGATTATAAACTAGCAAAGCAGGACATGTTCGGAAAGCTGCTGTGGCCACGCAGTAATAGCAGACTGTTCAAACAGAACAATATCTTGATAACGGTTTGGCCCTGGTAATCGCAGGCCACATGCTGTCCCACCTGACCATGGATGTTGCCAAGGCGACTGTAAAAGAACACTAATTGCCTATAACGGCATCCAGACTCAGAAGCTGGACTTCGTAGGAGTAACAAGCATGCAGCAAAGTGTTGTCAAATGATGGCCTTTAATAATCGGTTGACAGCAACAGGATCAACTTAGAACAGATTACAGTGGAAAATACATAAGAGAGAACAAACACATTTAATTAGATGAATTTTGTATTAATATTTAATTTTAATTGTTGCTCTTTATTTTGCAGTCTTTTATTTTGCATGCGCATCCAGCAATTCTTCTGGCATAAACACTAACACTCCCCATAGACAAATACAGAGACTGATTTTACACTCCCTGTCACCAGGTGGCGCTGCAGGTATTGCACTTTACGTGCCCCAATTGAATCTGAAATTGAAAATATTTGTTTGCAACAGCCCTACTTCTCATACAGATTAGTTGGTGCTAACATTTTTTTTAATAAAACACCTGAACTATGTGTCAAAAAAAAATCATTTCATCATCACACTTTGCTGTCTTTAGCATTGTGTGCCTGCAGACTGTCCACCAGCTGAGCTGCACTGTACCCACACATGTGTGGTGTGCTACTGTATGTGTGCACTTTATGGTTATAAGTGCTCTTAGCTGTTCACCTCACTTAGGTTTGATGATTGTGGAGGCAGGATGAGTTTTGCTCTTGATGCAAGTGGTTGTTTATGAAGTTATGCTGTCTTTTTTTCCCCGTCCTTGCATGTGCGTGAGTTTCATATTCATCCTTCATGAAAAATATAGCCAGCACCAATAACAACTATCGGCATAAATGGGTAAAAAGCTGTAATTTCAGAATGACCAGTGGTAATGAAATTCCTTCTCAAGGTCTCCTTTTTTCCACGTTTGTGTCCTCTACATGTGTGTTCACGTAAATCTCATCCCGCTCAGGGTGGGAGTCTTGTAGTGCCCCAGTGCAGTCCCCATGAGGTCAATGGCTGCTGTGATAATGCTTAACTGATGCCGGCTGTCAATACTCATTCACTGGGAGAAAAGTCCTCCGCCTGTTCAGTAAATTACACAGTGCGACGTGAGCCTTGAGGTTCAAAACAACCTGACCCCACTGTTGTTGTGCGAAACAATAGAACAATGACTGCAATCAGCTTTTCCAGCAGCCATCTGTGTCATGCTGCTGCCTACAAAACACCTTTCCATTACTTCAGGGCTGCCGCTATTAGCTCTTCTTGTCATTGACTCCAAAGTGAGATGAAGACCCTCATTTTTCCATTTTTTTTTTCTTTCTTCTGCTGACCTTGACATAGGTGGGTCTTAAAAGTACTGTAAGGCAACACATGTGTGACATTTTTCTGCTATTGCTGGTTACTGTAGCAAGCTTTTATTGTTTTATGTTTGAGACGTTGCATTTTCTATTTTCTTTGACTCCTCCTTTCTCACGGCTTCTCCAAACATTCTCGGGAGCAGTACGAGAAGCTGTCCACCATGCACAAGAACATGCAGAAGCTGTACGAGAGCATCGGCAGCTACTTCGCATTCGACCCCCACTCAGTCAGCGTGGAGGATTTCTTCGGAGAGCTGGCCAACTTCCGCTTCCTCTTCATGGTGAGTTTAAAACGACGGCACATGTACTCCGTTGCTGTAAAGCAGACACACGGCGCCTAACAGCGGCCGCCACCCACTCATGCACATGCCTTTGCACTCGCTTGCTTGCACACATTGGGTGTTAGTGAAATGAGAGCTGTTTGCACATGCTCACATTTTCATCAAACTTTGCAGCAGGACCCCACAGATGGTGAAAAATTACAATGTTCTCATTGAAACTGAATGTTAAATTAGGATTACAATTAGAGGAGCATCCCAGTAAATTAGAATGGGATGAAGAACTTAATTTTTTCTCTAATATATTTCAGGATGTCACTCTCATAGACACACTGATAAATGAAACCCAGACTGAAGGGTGTGAACTGCAGAAATAAAAACTTGAAGTGTCACTGCATGTGTAGAGAATCTTCTTCTGAACTAAACTACTGAAATAAATTAGCATTCATTCTCATTTATTGACCTCTTTTTATGGATTTTATAAAGGAAATGCTAAAAACAAATCACATAACTAAGGCAGATTGAAGATTTGTAATTTTTTTTTATCAGTAGTGTTCACCTCTCATGTGTAGTAAATCTCTTGACCCTGGTGTAATAACAAAGACATTTTCTTACAAATTAAGATAACTTTAAGGCATCAACATTTCATCTCCTTTGTTATTTTTGTCATACTTGACAGACCATAACTTGAGTCTGAAATAGAGCATTGAAGATGATTTTGTCCCACTGCAATTCCAGAAGTCATCAATGTTTTTTTTTCTTTCACTTGAGAAACAATCATTTCAGCTTTCCAACTTCAAAATACAAGAAGGTTTTCATTCCAAAACAGTTCCACGCTTTGTATTCAGACTTTATATTTCTAATATGGTTCTTGTACGTTTTCTGAATGTGCTCAGGAAGAATGTAACAAGGGCCACCTGCTGTCATTTCCTTCCATATGCCATTTTTTCTGAATCAAATACCTTTTTATTTGCAGATAGCTTTCCAGTGCTACAACAGACTGTGACGTTTTGAATAGTGTCGCTTTTCTGTTTCTTGTAAAAGCCGACTAATATTCAGGTGCCGGTGGACACAAAAGCAACTTCAGTTTTTTTTCTTTTTCTCTGCACTTTATATACTTTAATCAAACGTATATAAAAGCCCTTTTCATCAATCCATTCTTCTCTCTTCTCTCACAGAAGTAGTGCAATGTCCCCAACATTTAAAAAATCATTTTATGTGCTGGTCTTTTAAATGGCAACAGTTCTAAAGACCTTGAATATGTTTAAGGTTTTATTAATGTTCACAATGGATTCAGAGATGTACGCAAAGCTTGAATTATCAATTTCAGAAGTGTTTGCTGTTGTTGGCTCTAGCACTGATTTGTTGTGTTAAAATCTTTACGCTAAGGTTAAGTTTAATGACTTTTCTGATATTGGGGGGAAAAAAACCTGCTTTTATGGCAAAGAAAAAGCTTTGTAATTTTTGACATTGGCTTAAAATTTCCAGACAGACTCTGATGTTGCTGGGTGTCTCAAATAAGTTAAACCAGGGGTGTCCGAAGTGCGGTCTCGGGGCCATTTGCGACCTATGAATGATTTTCTTCTGCCCTCAACAACAAATCTGCAATAAAACAAATCTGGTCTATCTCTACCTGATCCAGATAAATACTTCTTAAAAAATCTTTTTTGGCAAGATTTTCAACAGTCTTACAATAACAAAATATTAGGTGCACCAGAAAATATTCATCATTTATAAAACTGCTTTCTGTGTTAATCTCAATTTAAATTGAACAGAATGACCCAGATCCCTCTGTTGTTCCTGAACTTAGACTAAAACCTATTAAAAAGCTGGCCCACGATAACCCAAAAAATTAGAAAACGCTTTGCCTGGCTTTTAATAACACACTCACAAAAGACCCTTTACATGCTTTTGATCTACAATGTCCTTCTAAAAATGTCTGTTTCATTTATCTGAATAAAATCTTGCACATTTAGTTTATTTTTGAGCTGCTAAAATAAAAAAAACAAAACAGCACTTTCTCAGTTTAAATTGATGTTGAAGTTTCTTCGCTGTAAACAGCGATATTTGTGTTCAATCAGCTATGGTTTTTCTTAGGTTGTTCCTGAAATGAAACTTGGACAAAATCAGCTGTTTAAACTGGATAATAAGCCGCATAAAAGTTAACTTTATATTTGTTCATTTGCTGAAAGCTATAATTGGAAGTGTTTTCTGTCAGAATACAGTGAGTGGTGCATTATTACATTTTATATGTTCCTATACAAAAAATTTGACATTTTGTCAAAATTGGCTTTAAACAAGATCATTTAGATGCATTCATTTGAACTCAGGGAAAAATTAATAGTTCATTAACGCATCAACCAGGTGCAAATTGAATTAGTAACGATGGAAGTCATGTGAAAAGTAAAGTAAAAATCTCCTGTTTTTCTCAGCAGTCTTCTAAACATGTATTTACCTGTCTTTGCCTCTCTGCCATCTCTCTTTCCCACCTGGCACCTCCCCTAAAGCTCCAGGTGACAGGATGATGACATCCTGTCCAGACGGTGTTCTCTTTTTCTTTTCGCAACCCGTTAATGTAAATGGAAAGGTCCCCTTGTCTGAATCCCTCTCGTTTTCTTATTCTGATCCTCGTGTGAAACCCGCTTTCCATTCTCTCTGATCAAAGTGCACGAGTGCACAACGCAGCACTCCCTGAAGGATTCCAGAGTTGCATATCTGTAAAAGAGGCATCTACCCAAGAAAATAAATTATTCTCTCAAGCAAATAGCTGGATATGAATATTTTATTACCGTTTTCCTGCTATGGTTAAGGGGATAGAAGTAAGTGGGATATAGTGTAGTTAATATATTCATACAAAAACAATCCTTTAATCACCACATTCCTCAGATATTATTTATAGTTTTTGGCGCTTCAGCTTTACTGACAGAAAGGCTAATCCCATCTGCTTCCAGAGCACAAGGAATCAATGGTTGTTCCTATTTGAATGTTGTTTTTATTTTTCTTACCCTGTGAAACAACTAGGCTAACTCATTTTTTCCTCCAAAAAAGATCTTATGCTTTATTCATCTTTGACTTACATCGACTCCTTCTTGATTGTGACAAATGGCAAATCAAATAAATGTGATGACTTTTTGTCAGTGAACATGCTAGCTGGATTTAGCCTCTTGGAACACCTGGTGCGTCGCTGACATTTGTTTATTATTCTTTTCAAATACGGAGATATGAAGTTGTTTGACTCGGACAAAACATCCTCGCTAAGTTCCTTCTCTGTTGCACCGCCCTTTGTAACGCATTCACAGCACAAAGCATCTGCTGTATTAAAGAATTCCCTTGCAATACAGTCACCCTAAATTGCTTTTACTAAAAAGCGGAAGCTTAATGCACCCGACCGACATAAGGCATTTGAGCAAACGCATTGACAGACAGTTCTCACAGAACTGAATGTAACTGATAAGAGAATCCATTAACTCTATTTTATTTTTCATTCTCTGTCTCTCCCTCACCCCCACCTAGTTTTTTTCTTCCTTTTTTTTTTCTGAGCCCAATAAAATATCATTTGAGCCAGTATTTGAAGAGTTCAACAATTAATTTAATGCTACTGCCATACTTTGAAACAGAGTATGGGTGAAATGCAATAGCAGGGAGTGTTATATGTAATCCTGACCAGGAGCATAAGGATGGGGAGTTTTTCTTTTTCATTAATGAGTTATCAAAGCACAGCAGATGGGCTGGGATGAGCCAACAGTTTTCCTTGTTAATGAAGTGACTTTCTAGTATGACCAAATCACTCAGAGTGGATCCATAGAGTAACAGGATAGAACATTTCTGAGAAGGTTTTTAATATTTGTCGGTGCCATTTTCACCTTATTTGATATAATCCTTATTATATAAGAGGTGATCGCTGCTTTCAGACTCGGCTGATTCAGCATCGTGTTTATGTGATATATTTACTTACTGTACAGCGACTTTGGAGGTCACCCGTCAATATGTGAGTACATGTATACAGCAGCAGAAGCCTCCCAGTCTGTAACCTATAACTTCTTGAAACCATTTCTCCCCCACATCCTGGCACACGGTGCAGCAGATGGCTAATAAACACATTTGCTGCTTAAAGCCCAGGCGTTGTAGTGTTTGTAAAATTCAAATGGGATATAGTGATGGCACCCTCTCTGTGTGAGATCATTGGTGCAACCGAGCAGTTGGAAATACTTATTACGCCCTCACTGGACCGGCAAACTCATTTGCATGGGAAGGGAACCATGCTGCGGGAGACGTGTTGTGTTGCACAGGTCAAGGAGGAACAATACACACATTTTAGAAATTATAAAGACAACAGAGCCAGTCTGGGCATCATGGCCTTAGTAAAGAAGTGCCATGTTAGTATTTGGACAGCATTACTCACAGCTGAATGCCAAATGGAACACAATTTAACATTTCTCGTCTTTTTAAATTTACATAGCCAATATTTGATAATGATGCATGCATAAATATTTTTTTCTAAAAACTAGAAGGACTTGGAAATACATTTTTGCTGGATGCAGTCATATGTATTGTAGCTTTCACTCACACATGTCCAGGTTTTCAGGTCACAAGGTGTGTATAAAATGTAAGTTCTGCATGTGCTAAAATAGACTGTGACTGGAAAAAGGGAGGCAAAACCTTACAATTGCAAGATGACTACTCTACCCACACAGCTACAGTTGCCCCATATTAAAATCAAGAGCACAATTTAGTCAAACTTGACTGTTGATATATTTGTCTCCATTTGAATCAAGTTTGTTGAACTAAGGACACAACTATGAGTTTCTGGACTGGAGTTTAATACCCTCGGTGTCATACTGTGTCAGTTTTATTTGCACCAACAAAGCTATGCATCTCAATCAGAGTTCAATATTTTTTTCTGATCTCACCAGAGGAACCATTTTCTACATGCATGCTCTGTTTTCTGTGGCACAACAGATTCTCAAAGGGACAAACAACAAAATACAAATACCAAAGAAAAAAACCTTTCTTGTTTTCTCTTAAAATCACATCGGATGGTTTGGTTTAGTCCAGAATGCATTAGAGAACTAACTGGACATTAAGACAGTCCATTGAGAAATTTCTGAGCAGATATGCAAGATGTCAAATCAACCAATTTATTTATCAAGTCAAATTTCATTAGAATATTTTAATCTCGGACGTCCTCCTATAATAAATGGAGCTGTCAGGAAAATTGGGCGCGATACAATCAATGTTTGCCCGAAGGAAATTTCAATCTGTCACAGAGAACTGGAAAAGGGACACAAAATAAGCCACAGATGCAGAGCTTTGATAATTAGAGGTGTTGTTTGATTAGAGCTGCTAAATTATGTACCGTAATCATGTTTACAGTCAGAATAAATTGTTTAGAATACGTTTCGCCGACAGGACTTATGTACGTAATCTACATAATTTCTACCCCGATTTTATCCTGAAGCACTCCAGCAACGTTCATTTGGAAATGAGCTGAACCCTGTTGGTGGTTGGCTGTCAGAGCTGCTCATCATTTGGAGAAAATATGGAAGGTAAACGTTTTGTTGCTCAACTCTCATGCTGTTGAAAGCAGCGGTAGAGTGGATGCAATCAATATCCTGTGTAGGGGGCAGTGGTCTAATTTACACAGCCTTGATGTGGTGATTAAATACAAATTGATATGAGAGACATTGCTGACTTGCAGAAGTTTGAGACAAGTAATCACAGTTTCATAACACACATAATATTAATACGTTCTCTTTCTTCACTATCGTTTTGTTTATTTCCAGGATTTAAACTTCATATTTTTTTCATCACAATCACACTACCTCGCTCTTCTCTCTCTGTCTCTGCTGCCATCGCTGCCCTTGTCATCCATCAAGGAGGCGGTGACAACGAGGGCCCGTGTCCTTGGACATGTAGAAAAGCCCTGCTATTGACTGGCATGATGAGCCGCTCTTTCCTTGTTCCTTTCCCGCAATCCCCATAATCCCTCTGTCTTAGCTGCCAACACGGCGCACTCATCAGGACCACAGGGGCAGTGGATGGGGGGCCTGCTGTCGCCACATATTATATCACTGCTCAGAGAGGGTTATGCCTTCGCTTAAAGCTGCCCACATGGATGCATACGGCAGGGGGAACACCACAGATGAGCTGAAGCATAAAGATGTAAATGGACTCCAACCTTAGCGCACATAATCGTATGGATTTACAAACATGAAGTATGACCTCCCACACATGGAACCTTTACTGCACCACAGGCGTAGCATGCAACAGCATTTTGTTGTCTCCAAAGGTCATACAGTTGCATCTTATTCTCTCCTTGCAGCAGAACAAACTGACAGATTTGTACAGTGCTGAAGACATACGGTTTATTATCTCTATCTTGGGTTCCTTTCTGGCATTACAGCTGGTGACCGCGGAGTAGATGGATGCTTTCTGAATGTTGGGCTCTCTACACGACTGCCACATGTTGCTTTCTCAATTAAATGTCTTTCCAGTGTTGTCTGAAGAATTATGCCTGCATTATGATGTGCAGAGATTTGAAAAAGCATTCAATTTGAACCTTTTCATTTTTGTCACATTAGAGCCACAAAATCCAATGTATTTTAATTGGATTTTATGTTATTGACAAATTGAATGAGCATAATTATCAAGTTTATACCTGTTTTTTGATTTATCTCTGGGCTCGGTGTACTGCCTATTAGCGTCAAGAAAAATGAATGATGCACATGGACATGCCAATAGCTTTTTGAGTAGCATGCTGCCTAGTGTTTACTGCCTACTTTATGCAGTATGCCTATATGTTAACTAATTCTTGAGAGTGCCAAGGTTTTTGATGCTCTGTGTCTGTATTATGTTCAGTGGCACTTTTTACTATTATTAAAAGAAAAGTTGTGGAACTTTTGCTGGCAAATTTATTAAACTACAGCCATAGCTATATTGCTAAAATAGTAAAAAAGTCAAGCAACATTCTTTCATGAAAAACTTGATGACTTGTTGACTTGTTAAATAGGGATTTTTTGTTCATATATATCACATGAGATATCTATGAAATAATTTGTGTTATGTGATAAAATGCATCAAATCCAAAGGCTATGAATACTTTTTGAAAGCACTGGTTATGTGTGAATGTCCTCATTTATGTAGGTTTGGCATTAAATCAGCTGTGGGACTGAAATCATGTACTGAAACCTCACTGATAGATAGGCTTATAATAAAAAAAAGGCCTATACACAGCAACAGATGCATTGTTTATTCAAGACGCTTATCTCTATCAAGCCAGTTACTGAATAAGAATTTGCTGATGGCATTCTGCTGCTCCTGTACACTATACAGTGTAGAAGATGATAAAAGAGTGAAGGTGGCAGAGCAACATTCTGATTTTATCTGTTTCTGTGTGTGTGTGTGTGTGTGTGTGTGTGTGTGCCTCATCAGGAAGCCATGAAGGAGAACCACAAGAAGAGGGAGATGGAGGAGAAGATCAAGAGAGCCAAGCTGGCGAAGGAGAAAGCTGAGCGAGAGAAGCAGGAGCGTCAGCAGAAGAAGAAGCAGCTGATTGACATGAACAAAGGTACGCTGCTTCTCTCCATGCTGCTGCCGAGACGGGGAGTTCAGGGGACAAGAAGCACAAGGGTGGAGAGAGGGTTTCATGGAAATTTGCTGCACACAGATTTGAACTCAGCCGCTGATACTAATGTAGAGAAGCAGGGGGAGGGAGTCCTTTATTTCAGTTTATTTTCAACTCTCATGTTTACAGTGCTTCCATAGCTCAGTCAGCGCTTCCAGATAAAAGAGAGGTTATGCTAGAATTGGTATTTTCTACTTGTCCACATTCTGTAGACAAAAAACATTCTCCCCCTGCTGCATCTAAAAATTGAGCACATTTTATTCAGTCATGCTTCCAGCTATTGGAAAGAAGTCACAAATAAACTCAAATATGTTGTTTGCTTACAGAGACACATGCTGGAAAATACGGGCTGCATGTAAAGATAGGAAATTAAGGCCCGCTTTATCGACTAAACCGAAGATTGCTGTGTAGATGGCAATCTCAACATGATCATTATGGCTCTGGTAGTTTACCATTCATTACATGGAAGCAATATAAGGAAAACAATAGCATAACAGTTTCCAGAAAGGCTGTAATGACTCCTCTGTCCTGCAGCAACGGCAGCGTGTCGTGTATTGATCAGTGTGAGCTGCTATTGTTTTGCACGTGGAGGAAAAAATACAGTGACAGCGGCTGATGCTTGTGTCTAGTTAAAGCAATGACACTGAAGGAATTTCAAGCCTGGGAGGCCTTACAGGCAGTCAGTGCACTCTTTTGTCCATTATTTATTCATATTTTTTGACTAACAGAGTGGGATTTCCACAGTAGTTTCTAAATGTCAGTGCTAGCCAAGGACCTCTCCATCGTCCAACCTCATTGGGAAATATGACAAGACGGTCTCCAGCACGCCACAGACTCTCCAAGATAATTGATGCATGCTACAGTTCTTCTCTCACTTTTTTTTTTTTTTTTTTTTTGTTCCCTGAGCAGAGACCTCTTTGAAAGCTCTACTTTCAATAATCCAACATGGCTGAGCTGAAGGAGGCTGTCTGCCCCCTCTCTCTCTGTGTCTGGCAAACCAGATGGAGAAGGATGGAGAAGTGGTGCGATATTAAATATTTCTGCCAGAGCAGATTTTGATCTTGGTTTCTGAATGCCATAATATGACATTCAGAATGAATAAAACATGAGGATGACATGGGCAGCGTTGCCTGCAGCCTCCGAGATAGTGGGGGATTGTGCTGCGCACCGACACCTAGATTACTGGACTGTCTCGATGACGGTGACCTTGGAAAATTATGGAAAACTGGCTTTCTTATCCAAGATGCACTCGGCATGACCAGCTTTTCTGCTGTCAAGGTTCTTACCTGGATGTTTTTTTTTATGAAACCTAGAATAATTTAATGTATTTTTACTTATTTCTAATGCGGAAGGCAATTTAACAAAAGCAGCGCTCTGTTAATGTGTCTGAGGAGTATAGAATTTAAGCTCCAACCAGAAACAAGTGGAAGTGTGTTCAATTTATTTGTTTGTCCTCACGCCTTCAGTTTCCTTTTGTTTGGAAGACGTGAAAAGTGGCTCTCCTAGATGTACTAACCCTCAGATTTATGAGACCAGGTTTATGAGATGCAATAACATCGCAACAAGGAGGAAAAATTAGCTTTTCCAATGTTAATTAATCACATATCCTTTACCTTGAAAATACCAAAATATCAGTGCGGGGAAAGATATGAAAAATTAAATGAGATGCAGCGACCTGGTTGTGAACAGAGTGCATCTTTAGACTAATTCTGGGTTGAGATATACGAGAAATTATTATCAGTGTAAGTTTTTGGATACACTCACCCTGCGTCTTGTTGTTACCACAGAGTGAGTAAAGTGCAAATCATCTGGGCTGTGTGATTGATAGGGATTGATTGATCAGTGTGGGGCCTTGTACACATTTAGTTGTGCTTGTGGCAGTTTAATAAACTTTTTTCCATCTTACCAAAACAGGCTAAGCTATTTATGCCTTAGTCTTGTTTGGCCTTCTCTGCGCTGACTGTATTGTAGGCTTACTAAATGAATCACAGAAGTCCAAACAGACCCTATTATCAAGCAAAATAATTTCAGTCCCACCCTACCCAGGACAAAAATCTAAACTGTACCTTGCCTGCAGCCTCAGACATTTCAGGGATTGTGTTGTGCACCAACAGAGGGTACTGGTCTATCTTAATAATGGTGAACTTGAAAATATGGAATATCTACTTTCCTAATGCAAGGTGTGCACAGCGCTCCCAGCTTTTCCTCTGTCAAGGTCGTTACCTGCATTATTTTATTTTTTTTAAACCTTGACATTTTTTCTGTTCCTTCAGTTGTTTTTCTTTGTGGAAAGCAATCTAAGGAAGGACAAAGGTATGCAGGGCTCCGTTAATGCGTCTGATGAATGGGAATGTAAGCTCCAGCCAGAAGAAGGGTGGAGGTGAAAGCAGCTCGGTGGTTTGCGCTCGTGCCCTGCGTCTCAGTTTCCTTTTAAGCTGTTTGGTTTGAAAATATGTAGCAGGAAATTTAATGTTTTCTTGTTGCGCATCTTTCTTCTCTGCGCCTCCTCTCCTCCCTGTTTGACAGCCTTGGCTTGAGACTCTCGGCTCTTGTCTCCCTGCCTGCTCTAAAATTCTACATGTGCTTCACATATTCGAAGAGTTTGTTATTTGAGGTGATTTTTCTATCAATATTTCATGCAGAGCATCACTCTTGTTTTCCATGATGGTTTGGGAAAACACAAAAGTGAGTAACACAAAGAGACTCGTGTAATTCCTTTCACCATTAATTAATCATGGCTGAGCATTTTTGACATTAATTTTAAATTCTGGGGGTTAAAAGGCTAAATGAAATCCTGAAATAGATAGTTTAGACACCTGCTCTTAGACATCAGACTGATAGAAATTGAGTAGGACCCGCTATGTTTGCTGTGTTTTTGGATGCATAAGCTGAGCAGATGGGGTAAACATATGCCTATTGTGTTATGAGAATTAAGCACAGGTCAGTGTCTTATCTATTTTAGGGATTTACTGGTTTGCTCATTTTGTGGCTTAAAGGACTGCTTGATGGATAATAGTATTTTGTTTAAAGCAATTTCAAGAGTCTATTTTTGAGAAGGGATAGATTTTATGTCATTTCACAAATTGCAACCTAATCCTCTTTCCTCGCAAATGATTAACAATGAAATGCATTTTTAATGAGAGTTTAATTCATTTAGCTTTTTGCCATGATGGCACCAGGATGGAGGAAAGAGGAGAGGGGGAGCAGATAAACGCTTTTAGGAAAGTGGTGATATATATTAAAAAAAAAAAAAAAAACTTGAAATGAAGTCCTCTCTTTGTATCACTTTTCCAACAAAGTGACAGATAGATAAGAGAAGTGTATCACTAAACACTCCTCTCAGTTAAGTATTTGAAATCTTAATGTATGAAATATCTTATAAAATCATTACTCAGTCACTCAATTTGTTTTAATTTGGTCTAAGTGGATTCTCTTGAACTGACCAGCTGTTCAACATTTACAGAACCACTTTAGATCAGTGGAAGTGACTGTTGAGCTCTGCAGAATATGAACTCAAGCTAATGCCTGTGTCTATTACAGGCTAAGAGCAGGATATTTTTACTGCAAGGAAATAAAATGAAACAATGTCAGCAGCAGGAAGCTGGGCTCTGCACAGAGCTGCAGCCTGGTGGAGGACTTGAACTTTCCTTCTCTAAAGGCATCAGAGTGAAGAGAAGCAGGCCCCTCTGGTCGCCAGCATGGCTGGCATCACCAGGGTCAGCCCCCCCGTCTGGGGCGAGTGTCTGAACCCGCATGTCATCTGCGTATTCCCAGTCAAATTCACTAAGCTCTGAAAAGACCCGGAAAGCCTGCACTCTTTTTGAGCACAATGTGGTCTGGCATAAAGCACATATGAACGACAACAAAAAAAAAACTAAGGAAATAAATAGATGCCAGTTGACCATTATGCTTCAGCCAGGTACCAGGAAGACTACTAAAACTGCCATATTTAAAGACATAAGTTTATCATTTTTATCTAGTTTTAGCTTTAAAGAGCTGCAGGTGGCAAAGGTAAACAATTTTATTTAGATTGTGTCTGTGTGTGAAAGGTCGTCGCCCTGCTTAAAGATGAACTTTAACCCCGCAACTTGTAGGTTTTCTTCTTGTATTCAGCTCCTTTCTGCTGAAGTATCTCAAACATCTTTTTTTTATTAGGACAGTGTGCTTACTGTGATGTGTAGCCAGTTTTCTCCCACAGTTAGGGTCAAAAAGATGTTTTTATTTGACCGGAGCACCTTCCTCAATTTTTCCATAAAATTATTATTATTTTTTTTAAATACAAGACTAAAAGTTGTTGATTTTCTCACTTGATTTGTGGATATTTTATTGGGTTACCATGAGCCATTTGGCTTCTTCAAACATTAATTTTTATTTTTGCCAGACTTGTTGATTTGAGTGAAAAGTAATTTCTTGTGTTATGTTCCTATAAAATACATGGACTTTTGTGGTTGTCATGTGACAAAGTGTAAAAAAGCGGGAAAGAAGATTTTCAGAGGGAAAACATTACACAGTTGACTTTTTTTTTTAACCCCCTAAGCATCCTCAGCTGTTTCACTAAAACCTTAAACATACAAAAGCTCTAAACATGCACTTATCTTTTTTATTCTGTCTTCATTGCATCATTTTTTTTGCTGAATGGATGGAAGGCCACCCAGCTGCCTCAATCCACTGCAACAGCTTGCAGACACCAGAAAAATGCAAATCCATACATTGCTTTACTTTAACAGAATACAGTTTATGATAAATGTGTTTTGGCATGAGACATATGTTCCAACATAGTCACACAATATAGAACGTACAAGATTATTATCTTTATATTGTTATCTTTGTTCATTCACCATCTGGAATGAACAACTTAAAATCTATATTTGCACTTACAAATCATAAAGTCTAAAGGTGAATGAATTAATGTGCTGATAGTGCTGGTAATAATGGACATAGAG